GGAGCGGTGCAACGGGAAAAAAACTGGTGCCGGGAATTCGATTACCGGGTGGAAATCGTTAACACGCCGGAAATCGATTACGTCCACGCTGCTCCCACCGTTGCCAGTTGGCTTCTCTTTAAACAATGCCACGCTTTAGAACGGTGTCACGTTGACTGTGTCTCGTGTAAATTTCCCGAGCTATCCAATTTCCGGATGAAGCGTGGCAATATGTAAAACCAACGAAATAAAAAAGTTTTATTCATTTTCCTGCCCTGCTACGATACGCTAGTTTTACAAACTTGCGTTCTGCTCCCGAGCGTAAAATTGATCATTCACCGATTACGAATAACAATATTTGGACAACGCAAGTTCGATTTTTTAGCAACGATTAAGCACTGGATGTAACAAATATTTTTCAGAAGTAATTACAGAAGTAATCTGCCCAATTCTGACGTGTAGCTTAATTTGCATTCTCGAGAGACTCCTCAAATGTGCGTAACGGAAACAAAAGGATTCACCCTAATCCTCGACGCAACCCTCGCATCCAACAGTTGCAATAGTAATAATAATGAGTTACAAAGGTAATTGAAGGTACATCGTCTGACAGTCGACGTGTAAGAGACTGGAAAGAAGACCGGTCTGAGAATGGAACAGAGACGGAGAGCAAAGGGGATGACAGCAAATAAACCATCGGTTCCAGCCGATCGATCCGACGCAAATAACCGGAATTAATCGAACTGCGCTTTGGCTTTTAATCGCGACAAGAGCCGGGGTCGTCGTTGGTTCCGTTATAAGAGAACACGAAACACAGCCCCGGGGGATACAACTTCGAAGACGAATGTCATCAAAGCGATTGCGAGACGCGAGCGCCGGCTGACTCTTTGCACGGGGATTACACGACGGATCGCGGATAATCTAAATAATCATCGTCTGCGGGGAAAATGTGATTCCTTCGTGGCAACCCCTTCGTTAAAACGGTAGTAACGTCATCGGCGAACACCCCGGGGCGAACCTGTGTCGATCGATTTCGCGCATTAATGGCTCTCTGTCTCGTGTAACGACTTTATCCCGGATACTTGATAAGGAACTTCCTCGAGACTCTTGCTCCCTACAGAGGATTTCACGGATAATCGTTAATTTTGGAATCGTTAATTCATCGGAAGTATGCCATATTCTTACTGAAGATATACCACACCTGTAGTTTATTTATTTCCTGACTTTAATCATGTAGACGGTTGGCTCCTTTCGTCCTTAGGCTGAGGAGCTTTCCTTTTTGGGAAAATGGTTAAAGGCAGGGGGTTAATTGCCGTTCGCACTAGACACATCAAATATAATACAACATCTTGGCAATTACAAACTTCATTTTATTTAGAAACCCTACAATCATAATTATTGTATCAAGTCTTTAGATCATCCAAATCTACCAGTGACATCTCTTGAGTCCGTGTGTCATAAAAATAAATGTTATATGCCTTTGAATTTAAAACAGAAGAAATGTACATCAAGTGCATAGGGTTTGAAAAAATTAACAGGGTATCGTGACACACCACGTCCCTTCTTTATCGAAGCTTACGTGACCGTACGTGAAAGTAGTAGTTACAGAGATTTGAGGTTGCAGTATTTATTACTCTAAGTAATTAGGTCGATGTGAATTAATGGTAGGTTGATGACAGGCAGAAACTTGGATAGATTAATGTGTACGGAACTAATAATTAGGTGAACTTCGATCGTTAACAAGTTCTCAAGAAAGTTATTAGATCAAAAACAACTCTCGAAAATAACTTCCGAACTTAGATCTACAAAAGTAACTTTGCAGAAAGTTATTAGTTACGACTTTGAAGATATTAGATCGAAACATAACTTTCACCAGAAAGTTACGTAAGAGAGTAACACGTTTTACGTCCTCATCGTTTGCATAGTTTACGTCCTTATACATTTTTACGGCGAATACATCGTATTCTCTGGAGCGTGCTATTTCGGCCGAAGCAAATACGAATTTATATCGACCTTTCACGCCGATACAGGCATGTAAGCGCGGGTGTACGGTCCGACGGGATCGTAAATTGGCGGATAATGCCCGGTGGCGCCATAAAACATTTCTGCACTTTAACGTCCGTCCGGAAAACGACAACGAGGTCCGCGTATGAGGCACGGTGGCGCGGCTCATTCCTGTTGTTCGGACGTTGAGAAATTAACGGCGACCTTCCGGATCCAGGGCCCGTTTCCGGTATCACGGACCTCTGTTCAAACCGGTGCGTCGAATTGAGACGGTGGCGATTAAATTACCTCTAGCTGAAATACAAACGTTCTCGTATAATTCACACATATTATCTATAAAGTCCAGTATAGACCTTGAGAAGAATGTTTTAATAAACCCAAGTAACATTGTTTCGTGAAAGGTGTATCTATTGCGTGAATGAACAAACAAGGGTTTGCAACCATGACAAAATGGGTGAAGACTCGCAGTGAAAGGAAGGGGTTGGCAAAATTTGGAGATTCGGTGAATAGGAACAGACAAGTTGGCAGGCTGCCTGGGCAGAAGGTAGCAGGATCATTAGGGTAAGATTGAAGATTACAATGGAGCAAATTGCGAGGATGTATGAGGTAGCCAGCCGAAGGAGCCGTTTATGTAAATTCGGCGTTGTCTTGGCTGCGAATGCGATTGCCGGTATCGTATTATAAATCAAGGCCAATTAACGCGCGGCCGACGTAATCAAGGAGATACTCTAATATTCGAACAGATCAAACACCGGTGAACTCGTCCCGATATTCGGCAAGTTTCGGCCCCGATCGATATCTATGAGCGGCGAACTCGAAAGTTCCGGAAAATAGTCGAATCGACCGACGGAACTAATTAATTCGAGCAAGCGACTCGTGTAAACTGCGCGCGTACTTCTCGCAGGAAGGACGCATGAATCGACGACGGCAAACTTCGATGGCTTTGAAGTTTCCCGATTGGACCGTAGGAGTTTTCCACGGTGTTTTATCGACGGGGTCCGTTACAGCTCTACCGAGAGAAATCCGGCATTCACGAACACGCTGCGGCGAGCAGAAAGAACGAGTGGACAGAGAAATATCCGCGGGAACATGATTCTTCGGGTCGTCCGTGCGGAATACTCTGCTCTGAAATCAGCCTCGTTAGTGGATGTACGGATGCGAGGGATCATGGGAAATGTTAAAGGGAGGCAAAATCACCCTGGTATATCTACTTTCATTCTCTTATATTCTCGTAAATAGATTGTGCGCAGAACTTTGTTCAAAAAAATCAGATGTCATTTTACTGGATTAAGAAGTTTAAGTCTCAAAGGTTGCACATTTCAAAGATTCTATGTTTCGTACCTTAATTGACCGAGGTTTCTATGTTTCGGGTCCTCGTGTCTTCGTATCTTAAGGTTCATATGTTCCAAAGTCTACGTGAAGTTTCTGTTTTGAAGTTCCTGAAGTTCCTATGTCCCGAAGTTGCTATGTGCTGAATTTGATATGTCCCAAGGTCTCCATATACCGAGATGCTTATGTCCCTATGAGGTCCCCACATCCTAAGGTTACTGTGCTCACCTCGCTTACATCCCAATATCTCCATATGCCAAAGCGTCACTATCCCCATATCCCGATCTCGAGAATCCCATATCACCAGATCTCCAAAGTCCCAGATCAACTTGCAAAATCCCAAAATCCGAAGTGTTCCGAACTTCGTGACCTTCCAGAGAACAGAGATGAGTAAATGAACTCAGTCGAGTATTCGAGAAAAAAAAGTGAAGAGGAGTAGCAAGAGAGGACGAGTCAATCGATATGCAGAGTTTTCCCAATAAGACTGGAAGGGTATTTTATTTCCGGTCTCTCGATCGCTGGTACTCGGTCCCTTGGTCGTAAACTACTACTATGCACAGACATTCAGAAGGAAAGGGTATCTAGATGTTCGACAGGGTTGGGAGAAATCGTTGGTAGAAAAGCGTCTTCTTTTTTCAACGGGTAGAACCGTTCCGTATGCAAAAGATAGAACGTGCGCAGCAATCTGAACGAAATCTCGAAACGCAATTTCCTGGACAGCCAACCGAACGGACACCGACTTGCCGCACGCCACGCCGACTGAACATCGATCTCTCGACAACGAATGCTGTTTTAATGATGCATCGATGCATCGGCCGACACCCCTTCCCTATGTTGTTTCCCTTCCTGTATCGCTTTTACCTCGGATGATTGATTCCAGACAGCTTTTTCCATGATGAACTTCGATAGAAGTAGACCACCTTTATTTTTTCCCGTCTCGAACCCCTTTAAACATTTATTTGTTTACCGAATTGTAAATGTTAGTGTCCAAGTTCAGATGTAATTGTACAGATTGTCGTACGTATATTGACAGTATTCCTAGATGTCGAGTTCGCACGAATTACTTAGAGTAATGAACTCTATTTCAGTTTAATTGGCAACATCGAAGCAAGTATCATCGGAGATATAAACCGTCGCATTTCATCCATTGATTTCTATTAGCTAATAACTCGCCAGGTTTAAACCCGGGGTATAGCATGGTGGTTCGTTGAACCAGATCGCTTAATGTGGGCCCTCGTAATTCTAGACCCGTCGTCTATTTTCCGGCCGAAACTGTCCATCAGATAATTCTGACGAGGCTATTGTTCGATCCGACAGAAGATTTCGTTCATTACGTTACGTCAACCTATTCTAAAGGACTCGCCAGACAATCGAAACCGAATTTCACGCTTAGACTGAAGAATTCGATGATCTGAATCATTAATACCAAGCTTGATCCCCTTTCAGCATTCATGACGAATGAGAACAATCGTAAGATAATAAAATAAGAGCGATCAAACGATGGAACGACAAAGGTTCTGTTAGAGAAACATACCGATATTCATATTACACGTCATGCTACACATGTTAGCGTACACTTCCTCAAAGATCATGATCATGTTAATAGATAGAACATGTTGCCCAGTCCGATCTTTCCGACCGTAAAAATCTTTATATTACATTAAAAGTAGCGGTGTGTTTTGAAATTCCAGGTGAAAGTGATGTTGAAGGTGTCACCCGGCGAGGGTGGGAGCTTCTTCAACGCGGACAAGAGGAAAAAGCAGGTGACGTTGATCGATCCAACTGCCGGCCAATCCTCGTCGGCGGATGATCGTAGACCAGCGGTGGCAGCCCCAAAAATGTTCGCCTTCGACGCGATATTCACCGAGGAAGATTCTCAGGTAAACGTCCAACATATTTCCCCGTGTCGTGAATAATTCGCGAATGGCTGTTTTATCGCGATCGTTTTACGCTCATGGAAGATGCAGGTTTTTACAACCGGCATATTCTCTCGTAATCGAGGAATCGTCCCTCCACGGTTGTTCGTCTACCATCGAAATCGTCGAGAAGCACGGAAGTGGCGGATAAATAAGAAAAGAGAGGAATTCTGGGGGGTAGGAGGTTAAAGATGAACGGGTGCAGAAAGTTAGAACGTCTACGTGCTCTGTCGTCGGCTTACGTTCATCCTAGAGACGTCCCTGCCGGGCGCATAACTAAACTAATTTCCCGACCTCTAAACTCCACCTACCGACAGGAAAATCCACTCCACCCCCCGCTGCACCATCTCTCGACATCCCCTCGGGCGAATGTTGCTTCTTGCCGGTGACTTCTATCCACGATCCTCCAGGAAATCGAATCGGGTCCTGATAGTCGTGATTATTTTCGAATTTGCGTATTCGAGCACTCTTTTCTAACGGGGAACACTTTGCCGTCAACTTTCTTCCTCGACGATTATTCTTCACCCTTCGATCCTCGAGCATTCTGCAACTAGAAATTCTGCGAACTCGCTAATTCGTTTTATTCTTACAATTTATAACGGAAACACGAAGTGGTCAAATTAAACACTCGTTCGAGGCCAAATTAATTTACGGACATACGAGTTTGTATGCAGAGTAATCCAAATTTTGTCGAATGTTTGGCTCCCAAGTGTACGCTGACCACCGGGTTATTTATGTAAATCGACCAGTTGCTCATTTTTACCTCTATTTTGAGTGGTCCTTTGGTGTCACCTAGGCGATAATCCTACCAGTCAGAACTCGCCACTAAATCATCCCTTTCCACCGTCATTTTTGCCTCGTCGATCTTTCGCGGATAAATGAAAAGAACTGTCGCGGGTGCATCCACTCGCATAGTGGATCGATCAGCGTCTCTCGTCGTTTTCCAGCGCTGCCGCGATTCGGTTGTTCGACTTAGCAGGGCCAATTTTGTTGTATGGCATTGATGAACGACACCATCGAGGAGGACGTCGTAAGCCACGAAGAAGCTGGCTTGCAATATCGCGCGATGCACGTAGATACGCGGCTCTAGGAGATATTTTGGTGCTCTCCGGGGACATTATCGAGCGTCGGATTCAAATGAGCCCGGAGCTACTCGGTTTTCCCAACCCCTTTCCCCTGCCCTGCCGCGTACGCGGGTCTCTATCCCACGCTGGCTGCTGGTCTTCCCCAGGGACTAGCCCTCCCGTCAGCCCTGGCCCTTTGACGCAGCCCTTCTATCCGACCGTGTTTAGAAGTACCCGATAGAAAACGATCGATTGATTCGATCAAATGTCCGTCAGCGACGATTGTTATCGAAAGTCACAATAGTAACGTTCTTCTTTCTTTCCATGGTTCTTTTTTTTTGACCACCCTCACTTTGGACCGGTTAAAATAGACTCCGAACTGGACCTGAACCGAACGAAACTTCAGAATCGATGGAAGGGACAGGAAACTTGCAGCGTGGTGTCCTGGGGGACGTTTCGTCCTTTTCGACCGGCCGTCAAACGCAGAATCGCGTGAATATTTTAAAGAGAGTTGCAGGACCATCCCGGAAAGTCCCGGAAAGTGGTTCATCTTTTACCAGCGTCCCTCTCGGACGTCTCGGTTTTTCAATTTTTTCCGGATGTCTGTTCGCGGTTCGTAGATTACATAAATTGGAAAGGGACGAGGGACGGATTCGGGATTCAATGGCGACGAATTAACGGGATGATTAAATCTGTCAATAGCCACGGTCGGCAGGGAAACCGTACCGGTTATGATGGATATTAAAGGAATCGAGGTATTTACGTTGGCTGGGACAAATCTCTAGGGAATTTATTGACCGAATTCTTCAAACTTTCAAATCACAAAGTTCTCAAAGGACTAAGTTCTTATATAACTACATAAATTTATCTTATGTCCAAATTTGCTTATACCTAGATGTCCATATTTCAATATACATTTCGATGTTAACAAAAAATTGTAATTTTTAGAATAACATCCGGTGGTTTTCGCTAACCGGTTGTTTATCGTCGCCGTATCTGCGATTCGATTGAAAAACACACGTTTCACGCTGTGTTAAATTACACACGTCGGAAATGTAATTCAGCCTGGTCGCAATTCCCGCTCGCCGATAATCTTCGGCCAATGGATACCTTTGCTACCTGAGTCCGCAAATACGCGAACCGCGAATACCCGGTTGCTGGCTGCTGTGTGGAGAAGCGTCCCAATATGACGCGCAAACAGACCGCGTCAGGTTGATTATGGGTCAGTCGTAAATTAACGTCGTCGATAGTGACCATCGGTCATTTAGTGTTTGCTCTGATCAATCTGTGCACACCAAACCGCGTGCAAAGTTTATTACAAACTGTATGCGTCCCAACTTCATTAATTTTTATGCTTTAACAAATAAGCCATGTCCAACTTTACACCGAGAGAATTTTACTTTGTATAGCAATGATACTTTTATTACTAAATTATCTGATATATGACGATACGACGATAATAACTAATAACGTATGACGATAGTAACATCTCTAGTTTGTCGAAAATATTTTTCAACCCTTACGGTATTTATCTTGAACGTCTTAACCACGTTTCGTCGGAAGATAACGCGATTTGTCAAGAGAAGAAGAAACAAACTCGTTCATTGGCAACGTGTCAAAATGAGAAAGAAATTGAAGAGCAATTTGTAGCCAAAGCGTTTCGAGGAACGTTCAGACGCGAAGTGAAGCTTCGAAATTCGAAAGAAAATTTCTCGCGAACTGACGTTACGTCGACTAAGCAGCGATCGAATCGTCCGATAAATTCGTAACATCGTCTGCCTGTCAGACCCATTCATCCCTTCGGGTTGTAGCCATTACGTAAGAATAGACGCGCTGGTTCGCCGCTCGCGGCTTGTTTCACGCTCGCGCGAAAGTTTATTTTCCGCGAGAGACGGAGAAAAGGCGGAGAAGGAAGGAACCCCGACCACCGGGAAATGTCTTTGAAGTTCGAATTTGTTCGATCGTCTTCCCGAGGGCCGTTTTCAGCGTCGTTATGCGAACACTGTAGCTTACAACCGAGCCGGCAATTTGCCAAGCATTATTCCTCAGACCTTCGAATTACATTGCGCCATTCATTCTTTAGGCTTAGTTTACGCTAGTTTACGGTGACACGGGTTCAACGCGAATTTTCCACTGCAATCAGTCTTTAGTCGAGTTTAATCAGAATCAAATTGAGGGTACTTTACATACTTGTACTCGATTTCCATTTATATTGTTTAAGATTGTTGCAGTTTTGAAAAACTTGGGAATGTGGAGTCAATTTAGAAATCTGAACATTTAAATTTACTCCTATCGGCATATAATGTGTACTTAATTTGAAATTAAAAATGAAGTTAAAAAATAAATAAACTAACGACAGAACATAAATTAGTACACACATTTATTCTTCATCTTGATGAAAATCAATTCTGATTTCAAAGAATGTACTTTAACAAAATGAGTACCTTATAATAAGGTTCTTGTGGAACAGTCATTTGACCGATTTGGTAGTTTTAGTATTAAGAATTTAATTCAAGAATTCGTAGAAAGGGTAGCTTAGTAAGAGTTTAGAACTTCGAAAGGTCGTAGGGTCTAGCGTTTAGGTATTAGGATAACAAGAATCCCGAGTTTAGGACTTTGAGGCAGTTTAAGTGGGAGAATCCAGTGGGAGCTTATGATCCCGGAGGAACTTAAAAGCTAGATCGGACGAAAACGTAATTTCGAAGAAACGGAGTAAAAAGTGTGATCAAGCGACGTTAGTAGGTGGTGTCGGTGTGCAAATGAAACCTGGGCAAATTAATTGAACATCCATCTCAATTACGTGGCTCCTACGTGGCTGAATGCGCCGCTAGACGCGTTCCCGTTCGAGATCTTACGCGTGTGTAAACCGCATATATCGCCGCCGGCCGCCGACAATTCTATCCCCGTGGACGATCCGACCAGGACAATGCATCCTGGACAGAATAATTCACTGGAGCCATTATAGTCGGTCCAGGCCAGGGGCTTTATTATTGACTTACGACTAATAGTCACGCTGTGGATTACGCGCGTGTTCGATACGCGCTTGCGCTGCTATTATCTTTCTCTCTCCGCTTCGATTCATAGATTCACCCTTGCTGAATTTTACTTTCTCGGTCTGCGACCTCTCTCCTGTAACCGTAGCTTCGATCTATTGCTCGTTTCTCGGCAAACGCTGATCGAATAGGGTCTTGGTACCGTGACTCCTTGTTCTCTGCGGGTTTCCGGTGTCCCGGGGTAAATGGATCGACTACCAAGATTAAAGCTTCCTCGGAGCATGGACGCCGAATTTCTTATTAAGGGGACGAATATACTACCCGGGCTGACGAATTCTTATTAAGAGGAAAGAAACCATCGATACCTTTCGCGCCGTCCGGTGCCCTTCTAATTTGCGGCTCGATTCGATTATGGAGATTACCGAAAAATTATACTCCACCCTCGTCTGGATTCAGATTAAAACGGAAGGGCGTGCTCGTGAATGGATCTGCTTCAGGGTGCTTCTGTAAACTGTTACGTCGAGTTTTCGCAAGCTTATTCGGTTTCAACTTGCTACCGTGACAGTTTTCATATTATCTAACCCCCTGTCCATTTTAGTTGACGTTACTGATCCTCGTCCTGAGTACTCGTTAATTCTTTCATTTAATATCCTAAAGTTGTCTTCAATTTTATTTAAAGAAATTAATTATTGACTCTTGCATCGCTGTTCTCATGCAGCTCCACTTCGAACGTTAGAAAAAACCCGTCAGACGATCGCGACGATTCGTCCAGCGAGTAAGCAGATAGGGGTTGATGACGGACCGCTGTAGGTAGGGGTCAGAGTAATCTGTAAACCAATCATACGGGCCCGTGGAACGAATCCACCCCAATTGGCCGCATCTATATTCCTTGTTCTAACGCAGACCGGATCCGTTCGACCGGATCTTGACGTAGTTCGACCGAACCGCGCATTTCCATATTACAGTAAGATTAATTCGGCCCACGATTCGGGCTTCACGAAGGGTTGATGAAGTTTGGCAGGTGTCTGCCTCGCGTCAGACGCCTCGAAGCCGGAGAACATCGCGGCTTATTTGGTCAGCAACGCCATTCCTGCTTCAAACACACTCCACATAATTAAAAGGGGACTGATCATACAAATCAAAAATTTCTCTTAAGAACCTGTACTTCTTCGTGAAGTGTTGTACCTCTTTGGATAGGGGTGATATTTCATTTGAATTTGCTTGGAAAGTCTTTGAATCCTTCACGAAAATATGTTATAATCAAAGTCATGTTGGTTATAATAAAATTCTTCACTGCTTTGATAATACTCCTGCCGGTTTCGACAGTAATTATTAATCATTATACGACAGAATGTAATGTCCATAGCAGTCCACAAACGAAGGCACAGAAGAAAGGCAAAGAGGATTATTAACGATTTCGATTTACCATCGTTCAACCAGCTCGGGATTTCGCGAATGCTTTTTTGATCCGATCAGCCACCGCGAGAGCACCGCGTTGTCCCGGTAGCTTTTTCGGAGGGGGTGAGTGGAGGGTGCCCTTGGTTGCTCCCCAGGCGCCAATGACGCCAATCTCCCGTGTAAATCGCGACATATTTCACCGACTGCCGAGGCTTGGGGTTACCCCGGTGGATCTCCATAGCTTCCCTCACACCCCTCTCTCGCGCACCCCTCGATCGATCTTAACGCGTTACTTTGATACTCGCGGGCTGGATAAAAAGTTCCTCGGCTGTTATCCGGGGAGTTATCGCGCTGCGAGAAGTTTCTCGTTCAGCTTGACGAGTTGAAAATTCCGCGTTGAGTCTGCCATGCAAGATGAACCCTTCGGAAGACGGCGAGAAGCTGGTAATGCACGTTCCCTCGATTTTCACCAGATGTGGTCGGGATCGATGGTGCACCGGATGTCTTGGGTAGATTTGCGAATATTGGGGATTTGGACGTTTCTGAATTTCGTCGTTTGGGGCGGTGACAATTTGGGAATTTAGGTATTTGCAGATTTGCAAACTGAGATATTTGGGGATCTTGCAATTTGAAGGGGAGGAATTTGAAAATTTATGTGTTTGAAGATTTTTGGAAACTTATGAACTGGAGAATATAGACAGATGAAAATTTGAGTATTTCCTAATTTATAAATGAAGGAATGCCCTTTGCGAATTACAGCAAAATCCAATCGTCAAAGCTTCCCCAACCCGAAACAATTGGAGCGATTGAAAAAAATTGGTATGTGCCGATAGCGTCTCAATTACGGGAACAGAGGGACAGCAGACATTAATTTTGGCGAGTGTAAATTAAAAGGGACGCAGGACGGGCGTCGCGGTGTGACTTACAAGCGACGTCAACCTGACCCCGCGTAGCTTCGATTCCACTTGCAGGACGCGTTCTAGTAACGCAATATTGGTGTGGTCGTGTGGAATACCAACGACACGGAGGGCTGAAGATGGGGAGAGTTGTCGATGCTCGTGGCCCGAGACAAGCTTCGTCGAGGAAGTTGCCGCTTCTCTTTCCTTCTTGCCGACCCTCTCGAGCCTCCCTTTTTCGCGCGACGAAATGTAAAACTCGTGTAAGAAAGTTCGGAAAGAAGCCGTGGAAGGAGTGAAACCGGTCGTGGGACTGTCGACGTGGGTAAAAGGGTACCCTTTTAATGGCTGGAAATAATCGAATGACCCCTTTTCGCGAATCTCTTAATTCGCAAGTTTCCAGATGTCGATGGCGGTGGACGAAACAGGGCCTTCTCTTAAACCCCCGCTAGGGATTTTGCTTGATGCTTCGAGTAAGAATTGTATCATTCTTTTTCTATGAAACTCTGGAAACTTTTTTAATTCAACGAAGAATACTCTACAGGGGTGTTTTACACATCGATACATTATCGTTTACAATAAAATTTGATATTCACTTAGAACTTCTGGGTGCAAAATGAAATGTGAGAAAGAGAATGCCCATACAAAAGTATTTCGCAGTTCTCAACTGGAATACATGCTAAGCAATAACAGCGTCTGGTTACGATAATTTTATGCCACTTTCGCGCGAGCTTCGCCACTGCAAGAGAACACTAATAAAAAATGAAGAAGAAAACACGGTTTCGCGTTTGCATGTACACGCAGCTGGTGCCCTCCATCGAGACCGCAGAAACGCAGCGACGTCGTTCGATGAAAACCGTATCAAAAACAAGCAGGCCTGAGGGGGTGCTTGTCGTTCTCGTTTCACGCACACGTACACGCGCAAAGCTTCGTCGGTTCGCGTTCACGAGCCGATAATCCCGAAAATTGCGTCGCCATATGCGTGACATCCGGTTTTTGTTCACCGCACCGTGATTCGTTCGACGACTTACTCGGTTAGAAATAAAACCATTTTACATATATTTTTTATCGGGACTCGATTTTAATACCGTCACTATCGTTTGTACCGAGCTGTTTACCGATGTACAAGTGTCTCATAGACACAGTATAGAAAATGTACTCAAATTCTAAATTTCTAAATTTTGCATAGACAGGACATCAGAATTCTTTTAGAATTTTTCCTAAGCTCTTTCATGAGCACTTACGCGTCCTGAGGTTCAAAGATAAATTTGGATAATCTGGAAGCTTTTTATTGGGATTGATCCAGAATATTTTTAACGTCCCTGTCGAGGGGCGAGGAAATTTGAATTGAACGCATTATCAGGTGTACGATCCTCGCCTCCGAAGGGGATGTTTTCCACGCAGCGAACCCTTCGTTCCGCTCAATTCCGAGCGGGGTTCGCGGAATCAAGTGTTTGAGATTATGACGGAGGCTTCGGTCACGTATTTCATTAACCGTCATGCCGTCGCGTCGTTTGAAAGCGGAGGGAAGCTGTCGGGTCTCTCGAAGGGTGCAGGTAGCCGCGAAATATGTTTGCTTTGCATTATATCTCCGAGGATGATCCCGTTATAATTATGAATGTCCTTGTTGTCCCGCGAACCGACCGTTCTTCGCCTCTTTCGGCTTCGTTAATCTCACCTCGTCTCGGGGATTTCGAAACGGACCGTTTTCGCTCGATTAAAACGGATAAGACACTTCCGTTGGAATATTCGTTCGATTCGAACTGTTTCTGGTGCTGATCAACTGAAACAATTTGCTTTTGCAATTTATCGAGAACCTCGAGATACTTTCGAAATTTTTACAAGAGGATTTACGAGTATTCTGTAATGTAATTATCTTGCGTTTAAATTGTAAATGCGTGTAATAAAATTAGTATGCAAAAAGTTTCGTATGAAAATCATGAATATACACCGGTCATAAAAGTGTTAATTACCAGCGATAATTATTTGCGCATAAATCCGATTATACTTTTGGAATTAATAAACTCGTCAAGTCATTAGCCATAAATTCACGGTCATTACACGTCTGCCGTGACCAAATTACCACATGCGATTTGTCCATTACTGCCACGTTATGAATTATAAGTCCAACCGTATATTCTTAAAAAGAGCTTAGACTGTACAAAAAGTTGCAACTGTTCGCAATGAACATCGCTTATCACGGATTAAGTGTTTCCTTTTCGCGGAACGGGCTTCGAAACGAGCAGCGACAGATTGGAATTACCATATTGGAAAAGGGATCTTATTTCCGTTTCCTTTCCAAATCTTTCGTTACGCGTTTCCGCAAAACTATCCTCTCCTTTTTTCTTGCATTTCTTTCGCGAAACCCTGCTTTCATCTCCCCTTTTCCATCCGCAGGTCTCGAGATTCATCCGATTCTCGTCCACGAAGATTTCAATCTTGTTTGGTCGAGGTATCGACACGTCCTCATCTTCCTCTCGATATTCCCGGCAACCTGTTCCCCGTTCCTTCGTTTCCCTCCCTTTTTATCCGCCCCTTCCGGCCGCGGAACGTTTGCTAACCCTTGCGAGAGTAACGGAGAACGATCGATGCTTTTCTCTATCGATCGGAACGAGTCGAGGAGCACGAAGGAAATTCCCGGTCGCTTCCGCAGGAAATTCGCGAAACCCCGACAACCCTTCGCAGCTTCTCCCCGGCGCTATTTTTTCTTCTCTACGGATCGTCGAAATCGCATGGTCGAGTTATCGACCACGGACGAGAAAATCCGACGGGAAAACGAAGGAAACGACACCGTAGATAATCTAAACTCTCTTTCTCCGGGAAAGGACTTCTCGGCTCTATGAATATATTAAAAACAACCAAAGACGATTTAATCTCTCTCCTTTTCTATCCTGTTTACGTGTTTATTAAACCGTCCCGCAAACGCTTTCTTAACCGCTTTAAGTTAAGCTTCGTCGTTACCCTCGAAGGTAACTTCAACCCCCTCTGAGAGCACCGACTATCGGGAGCAATTAAAATCGAGTCCATCGTCTCGTCTTCTTGCCCTCAAGTAACTTAACACCGGAGAAATTGGGATGACGCGATTCATATCAATTATCGTGCCATATCGATCATTAAAAGGGTTCCTTGCCTCTCAAAATATTTATCTCAACTATTGTTTCTTTGCAGACCGAGATATGTTCGAGTGCGTTGACGGACGTCATCCATGCGGTCATCAATGGAACGGACGGGTGTTTGTTCTGCTTTGGACACGCTGGCTTAGGTGAGCATTTTAAAAGTTTAATCTCGAGCAATGACTTCTTCGATTCGATCTATAAAAATAATCTTCGACAACGAAAATCGTCCAAAGTCACCGTGAATGTTAAGAAGAACTTCAGTTCATATTTCAGAGACTAACCCTCTGCATCATTAGTTAACACAGCTCGCGAACAAGTCTAAGATGCCCATTTGTGAGTAGCCGAGAGAAACCGTGTATAAAAACGATGAAGATTCCTCGAGCTATTCATATTTCATGTAATTATTTCCACGCTCGGGCCGGCCAGTCGAGACGCGGGCTAGACAATAGCGTTTTGTCCACGAGGACGTCGAACTTTGCCGAACAAAGAACCGTCGAAAGAAGAAAACGAAGACGTTGTCAACTCTTGTATGGAAGTACGGCAAAATATTTAATCTGCTTTCGGAGCGATGGCCGATCGTTCGTTACGCGTGATAATCCACGTCTGGCGATACAACTCACGACGCGTGGCGAAATTATGCATGTGGCAATTCGACTCGCTGCAGTTTAACGCGTAGATACTGCGCTTAATGTTTCTACGCGCAGTAAACCTCTGGCTACGTATCGCGTGGTGATTCAGCACGAATGGAGGTAGATGCTGTGGGTAGAAATGCGGTGCGTGATAGTGTAACGCGTGCAAGATTTAACGCGTGATTATGCTGCTCAATATGTGGTATCTCTACGCGGTGTAATTTGACGCATGTTAAATCGTCGTGTGGTAATTCTACGCGTGACAGTGCAACACGTGGTAGTTTCATATGTTGTAATTCGATACGTAAAAATGCAACGCGTGGAAATTGTCGGAGTGGTGATTCTACGCGTGGTGACGCTACATGTAGTAATTCTACGCGTGCGAATTCAACACGTGGTAATTCTATACGTAGTAATTCCACGCGTGGTAACTCTATACTTGGTAATTCTATACGTAGTAATTCCACGCGTGGTAACTCTATACTTGGTAATTCTATACGTAGTAATTCCACGCGTGGTAACTCTATACTTGGTAATTCTATACGTAGTAATTCCACGCGTGGTAACTCTATACTTGGTAATTCTATACGTAGTAATTCCACGCGTGGTAACTCTATACTTGGTAATTCTATACGTAGTAATTCCACGCGTGGTAACTCTATACTTGGTAATTCTATACGTAGTAATTCCACGCGTGGTAACTCTATACTTGGTAATTCTATACGTAGTAATTCCACGCGTGGTAACTCTATACTTGGTAATTCTATACGTAGTAATTCCACGCGTGGTAACTCTATACTTGGTAATTCTATACGTAGTAATTCCACGCGTGGTAACTCTA